CTTTAAACTTTCGAGTTTTTTTTATTATATAAAGCATTTAATACTAAGTTTATAGTTATAAATAAATAAACTACAGACGTAAAACCAATACAAAGTTAATTACAAATAAACTACAGTGCGAAAATTTACAGTCTATAACGATAATATAGTTAATTTACTTTTTAGAGTTACTTAACTTTAATAAATATACAACGAAAAATAAGCTTATTAAACTCACTCTATAACTTAAGTCAACAGTGATGAGTTTGTTAAGTTTGTGAAGTTAAACATGATACTGTATTGTAATCCGACTCCGATCTATTGATCACGTGGTACTACGTACATAAATTCTATTGGCTTGAACAGACGGAATTCCTCTGATATGTTGTCTAGAAGTAAAGTCCTCCGCTTAACGCTTCGGACAATAATACATAAAGTAGAAAACCACAATAAAGTATGCTATAAGTGTAATTCACAATTAATATTATATGATTTTGATATACTTTAGCGTCTTTCGTATTTTATCCCTTTATCACTTTTTGGACTTTGGGGAACCTTTTAATACAGAAGACACGATATAAATTGATTTATAGCCATTATTAAACCTATTATGTGATCTGTAAGCATGTATTGCATCATTATGCTGCTGATGGAATAAAGTTCTTATGCCTATCGATTATTTGCACTTCTGATGGTGCGGATTGCACGTTATTCACCATAAATTCTACTTATTAAAATCATTTCATAGTACAGTAATCTGCATTGCATTATCTCTCTCCAGAATCTAGCTTCTATGGCATCGTCTTAGATTATAATCTAAATAATTAAGCCAATGTGGTGATTTCTTTTCGACTATAAATACTATGTATTTTTATGACATATTTGATTTTATTTACCGTTCTAATTTTAATTTTTTTTCCAGATAATTTTCTATGCTGGCAAACTAATTCAAATCGCTTTTGTAAATTAGCCGCAAACAAATAATCAGAAGCAATTATTAATTCATGTTTCTAAAAATATCTTTTGTATTTTGTATAAAAATACTTATAATAAACAGACTCAACAAAATAAAGACAAAATTTTAGAAATTTGCTACTCATTCGAGTTTTGTCAGACTGTATATAATATAACGATAGACAGTATATTGTCACTTTACTGTTAAAATTAATAACAGTATTATATAAATAATGAATGATAAAAGCAGGTTTTTATCAAGACAATATTATTTTAAATTTTAGAACGACAATATACCCAACAATTAAGAGCTTAAAAATGAAATCACAACTTTTGTGATTTTAAAAATTCTATACTATAAGAAACTATTTCTCGATCATTTGGGCTGGACTAGTTTATCTATAACTTCGGTTTAATATTAAAGCAAATAAATTTTTTGTTCTGCACCTTTTAGGGTTGAATAATAATATTCTTGTAAATATACATATGTTTATACCCCATACCATTTGATTCTAATTAGCGCGATTGTCATGTGAATTAAATTATTATTATCCGAATTTTCGTCAAGTTCTAGATTTCGAATAAGGTAGGAAATTCTATTTTCTTGAACCTCACAAATTAATTCGAATTCGATCATGCATCGAAGGATCGAATAGATAGTCCTCTTTAAGACCTTAATATTTTCAAGATTATTGTCTAATATCTCATTAATTACGTCCAGCTCATTTTCGATATTAAGAATAATTTTTCTATCAGACTTTGCCCAATAGTATATATATATCCCACCTACTAAAAATATAAATGAAAATAAATGAAAATAATACAACTTTGGTACCTTATTAAATACATACGATGCTAAATAAAAGATAGTTGGAATTGTATTAAGCACAAATGATACCAAACAAAGAATTATTGCCACTGTATTCTTGATTATAAAAAATTTGTTCAAATATTTTAGCTCTTGTTTCTTAGCTTCTCTCTCTTTTTTACTATCTGGAAGTGAATATTCATACGTAGAAAGCTCTTTGTGTATCTTTAACAGAGATTCTCTTATCTGATCAAACGAATTTTTCAAGATTCTGCAATAATCTCTAATCTCCTTAGAATCGTCTAAAAGTATGATCAGTTTTAAACGCTCGTTTTCCAGAGTGTTTTCTTGATCTTGGAATTCTTTATAATTATGAACATCTTTGGCATGATGTCTTAATGTTATTACCCATCGAATAAACTTACACGCATTGATATGAAACTCAACTCGTTGCTCTGTGATAGCTTCAATAGCTCTTATTACTGCGTAATTTTTTGACTCGATGGTTTCACAAATGTTTAAGAGGCTAAACACATGGGATACGGCAAAAGCCACCATTGTCAGGTCCGGAAAACTGTCTACCTCAACTACCATGTTTCAGTCAAAGGATAGAGAAGGGCATAAATTACGATATAATAATTATGTAAAACCTCTTATGGCCTTTATGCGATGTTAGAAATTAGGAAAGAAATTTATATAAACCGTATGAATCAAATTGTCTGATAATCCCATTTCCGCATTTTATAAAGTATTAAATTTTGATCTTCGTTTTTAAGAACATATTTATCTATATGTAACCATTGTTTCCAAGAATGGTTTGCCCGAAATCTGATTGTAGTTACTGTTGTGACGGGCCATTGCAAGTCCGTCGCTAACCAGGAGCAGAATTCGCGTAATAGTACTTTAGTTTAACAATAAAACTCAAAAGAGGCGGGTTTGACATGGCCTAATTTTTTTTCTTTATTAGATACTTTTCTATTTTTTTTATACATGTTTTTAGATATCTGAATAGAAGCTTTTAGAGAGTAAAGGAAAAGAATCGAAATCGATAGAACAAGTGATTGTAAATTGCATAATATCTTTTGTTCGTCAAAATCAATTAGTATTGTTACAGGTTGATACTGTATTCGCGATACAGTACTCCTGTTAAATATAGGTTACGCGACTATAATCTCGTCTTGACTACAGTATTTTATTTTTTCTTCCTACAATGTACTGAAATATGTATATATGTCAAAGGTATACCATAAGAGTTTTATTTTTTCCCTTAGAATTCCATTACTTTACTTGTAATAAGTATAAATAATCGATAAATAAAGAAATTAAAGGTTTAAGACTCTCGAACAGCGTCACGAGTTCTGTCAAAAGTGCCTACAAACAACTAGTGATATCTAGCGACAACTTGTGACAAAAATTTTGGCATATTTTAATGGGTCAAAATATTTATTGTATTAAACTTATAATAACTCTATTATACAATATTAACAAATAGAGAAATACTATTGTGGTAAAAATTAATCTAAATACATGTGCAAAAAAATTATATAGGAATATGTATGTAATTAAATAAACGACGTCATAATATCTATATAGATAAGAAACTAAAATAAAAAACTAAAACAATATCTCACGTAATAATGTACATAATGTGGTAAGTTTATTGCCCCCAGTAATTGCTACAATCGCTATTTCTTTAAGGCTCCAAATTCCCTGAGCTTCGGATATCGGATTTTTTTGTATTAATATTTCAGATGATGCTATTGTCAGTACTATAGGTATTACTACGAATGTATTTCTGGTTCATTGTCATCTAGGGCTCCTAACGATATCACTTTGATACCATTTTGATACCAGTTCAATACTTAAATTTATTATAAAAACATATGAGTAGGTCACAACCCATATATTAAATTTACTATAGATCGGTATCATTTCGATACCAGTTCAATACCAGTTCGGTACTTTTTCAGAACCCTATTGTCATCTGAATCATCGTCATCTGAATCATTGTCATAGCCGCATAAAGTCATTCTCACATAACAAATAACAACCATAAAGATTATTAATAAACTTGATGACACTAATGTGAATACACACACCTATTTAGTTGGATTAAGATGAATTATTAATCACAAAAACCTCACTTTATCATTACATTCTTGTTCGGGTAATTTCTATTTATAGTTGTCCATAGCCATATACAGTAGGTATTATAAATATCCGGAATTTTTTATGGTAAGTAAAAAAAAAATTTTTTTTTTATTAATCATTATTGAAACTTTGTATATACATAGTCAAATATGATTACTAATTTAAAAAAATTCTTTTAATTATCTAGCTTTCCCCCTCTCAATCAATCATCTCTAAAACACGATTTTCTATACACATCACTAATGTAAGAAATAGGTCTTTATCTAATTCATCTCATGCCCGATTGATAATTTGTTGAAAAATATTATTCAAACGATTTTTTTTTTATTAGATGTAAGTTTGATTCTTTTTTGACCTTGCCCTTAAGTATTTCCTATAAATTCTCTATTGGGTTTAGGTCAGGTGAATAGACAGGCCAATTGAGAATTCAAATGCCTTGGTCTTCAAGGATGCAACATGTTTTTTTTGAATTATAAACAGGAGAATTATCCTGTTGAAAATAAAACCTATGGTGAGCTAACCTAGAAAATTGAGAAAAAAAATGAGTTTCAAGAATTTCTTGGTATTTAGTAGAATTAAAATTTTTTGTGAATA